TGCTGAGATGGCTTAGCCAATAAAAGCACTTGCTGCCAAGACTGACAAGCTAAGTTTGATCCCCAGAACCCCATGGTGCAAGACAAGAACTGACTTTGTCCTCTGGTCTCCATAGGCACACTGTGACATGTGCATACTCACATACTCATTCAAAATAAAATCAAATAAGTGTAAAATTCATTTTTTAAAAAAGAAATAATTAAGAGGAATTTTTTTCAATCTACTATCAGGGAACATAGATGTCTTATTAATTTTTTCTTTATTGTGTGATAAGTATTGCAAACATTTATCTTGTAACTCAGATGAACACTCAAAGAGGCAAGGGAAAAATATGAGCAAATCCTGAAGGGCCCTCAACACAACACTCACAACAAATCCCACCAACGACTAAGTCACAAGCTGATGCTTCTTCTTCTCCCCATAAAAAAGCCAGATCCCAGGAAACTGCATTTTAAAGTCAAACCTGAACAAACTAGAAACAATTAATTATTTCTTCCTCTCTATAGAAATTCATATCATACTTTATTATTAAATGCTGGGGATTGGACCCCAGGCCTTGGACATATAAAGCTATTATACATTATATTAGACTATTATACATTATAGGCTAGTATACATTATATATTTTATATATTATATATACTATACACACACACACACACACACACACACACACAACCACATATTTTACTATTAAAGGCATGAGAATTTCTTCAACCCACAGACAAAGTACTCCACATCTTAAGGAACTGAGTTTTGAGGTAGATGTTAGAGTAAAATGATCTAAAATACCTCCCACTAATAACACCAATTAAATTTAGTTAACCGGGCATGTGCAGGAACATGGGGCAAACCAGCTAATTAAATATCATTTGGCTTCATCCTTACTGCTTTAAGTGGAAATCGGACCCCTCAAATCTTTTCGTCATCTTTTTTTTAAACATTTAAATTAACTTAAAGATATAAATTCATTTGCTTTTCTGTCTTTTAGAACAAAGAATTGTGCGTATTCCTAGGGAGATCATGTCCCAATAACATACTTTTTAAATTGAAAACTTAATTACCAGGAATGAGAGCGGCGGCGACGGCAGGGGGGGGTGTTTCTAAAGGCATCAGTGGGGGTTAGTGTGAAAATGAAATTTCGAGAAAGCACTTCGTTATGTAAAACTGACACTCGATTGGCCAGCAGAGGCGTGTACACTCATTTCCAAGCCCACTTAGTGAAGCTGGCCCCACTCCGGGCACCTTCCCAAGCCAAGGCTCTGTGAAAGCCGGCATTCACCAGGCCAGGCACAAACAGGGTTCCCTTAACCTACTGCCCTCTGGACACATCACTCTCTGTTAAACAGGCAGCCACTGCCAGATGCTCTGGTTAAAAATGGTCCCAGATGGTCAGCTGTCCCCTTCACGGAACACCCTGCCCCTTCCCACATATTAACATGTGCCTGCCGAAAGCTTGGCCAGGCCCTGGTGGGAACGGAATAAAAACGATGAGAATCGGGGGTCTCAGGTTCGAAGGCACCTTGAAGACAGTCTGCTCAACAGCTGAACAGTACTCGAACCCACACAACCGCCTCCCTGCCAGCCACTCAGGTGGTTACTAGCAGATGCAGAGATACTGAACCTGCTGCCTAGCGAGGAAACACCTACGGCCACAGAGGCCTTGTTACCTTGAACTCGAGCAATCAGGCTAATTCCGCAGTCAGGAAACTCGGGGCTACTTAAATTGATACGGCGTGTCCACCACCCCAAAGTCATGTTCTAGTTGATGCATTTAAAGTGATTTGACGAGCCTGGAGAGATGGTGAGTGACATGCTTGCCTCACAAGCATGACGATCTCTGTTTGGATCCAGTAGCACATGCAGAAAAATACAACCTATGTAATCCCAGCACTGGGAAGGCAGAGGCAGGCAGGGGGTCCTGTCCCTGGTGCTTGCTGGTTAGTTTATGTAGCCGATGGGTGAGCTCCAAGTTCAGTGAGGGAACTTGTCTCCAAAAAGTAAGGTGAGATCAAAAGGAAAACAACAGACACTGACCTCCAGCTTCCACACATATGTGTGTACAGGTACATAAGTACACGGGGAAACACGGCACTTCCCCCACACAGGTGATTTTTTAAATGGAGCTACCTCAGATGGCATGCATAACAGATGTTACAGCAAAAAAACGGCAAGAGCAGCCGGGTGGTGGTGGCACACGCCTTTAATCCCAGCACTCGGGAGGTAGAGCCAGGCGGATCTCCGTGAGTTCGAGGCCAGCCTGGTCTACAGAGCGAGATCCAGGACAGGCACCAAAACTACACAGAGAAACCCTGTCTCGGAAAAACAAAAAACAAAAACAAAAAAAAAAAACCCATAATAGTTTACAGTTTGGAAAGCTATTATTTGGAGAGCATCACAGTTCTAAATAAATAAATAATAAAAATAAAATCAGTGGGCCTACCTCCCTTCCTCTATCTCTCCCCAAATGAATGAATCAAGGAACACTTCTGTATATATGCGTCTCTTCCTTATTTCGTCCATCCACAGATACATGTATGTATACACATCTCTAGAGAAAGCTTAAATGCTAACTAGCTGGGGCTGGAGAGGTGGCTCCGTAGTTAAGAGCACACACTGTTTTTCCAGAGGATCTGAACTCTCACTACCCACCCTGGGCAGCTCACACCCACTTCCAGGAGCTCTGACACTCCCTTCCAGCCCCTGAGGGCACCTGCAGTCCCATACACATACCCACCCACCCCCCACAGATGCATACACATGGTAAAATAAATAAATCTTAACGAGATGTTAAAGAACTGCTTTTAACTACTGGTGATTTTGTTTTTCTGAGACAGGCTGCCCTTGAACTTGCTACATAGCTGAAGGTGGTCTAAAGTCCTCATCCTCTCCACCTTCTCTGGAGTGTGGGGATTACAGATGTGTGCCACCATGCCCCGCTTACTGCCTAAGTCTCAATGCACCATTTCTGAGCTTCTTGCAAAAGCAGAGCTTAGTTTATTTCATTTTCTAACTATTATTCAACTTAAGATAAGCTAGCTGGAATGTATGCCCAAGAAGCATGTTGAGGAACATGTTTCTGTTTCTCCTACACACTTCAACGTCTTTAACAACGAGAACAATCGAAGTACTGGGTTTGAGCTGTAGATTCGTTCTTGTATATTTTCTGAACATTTACTCATTTTATCCATATGAGTGTTTTGCCCGCATATATCTGTCTGTGTGCTTATGTGTGTGCCTGGAGCCCTAGGGGGCCAGAAGAGGTTGTCAGATCCCCGGGGACTGGAGTTACAGATGGTTACGAGCGGCCACGTGAGTGCTTGTGTCCTCTGGATCAGTGGCAAGTGCTCTTAACTGCTGAGCCATCCCTCTAGGCCCCCCAAATTATCTTGATTTATGTGTCTGCAGGAGTATCTACATGTGAGTGCAAACGATCCCCTGAAGTGGCAGTTACAGGTGGTGTGAGCTGCCATATGGACGCACGGAACCAGATTCTGGTCCGGTGCAATAGCAGCTCTGAACCACTGGGCCACCTCCAGCCCTGATCTACAGCTTTTCATCAACTGCCTCACAGCCCGTTTCCCACTGGATACAAGCAACAAGTCCCCTCTCATCAATGATGAACTCACGGAAAGGGAGGGCACACTGAGAAGCCACAGGGAAACATAAACATGGAAAGCTCGGGGCCCTCGAGGCTGGGCTAACATCATCGTAACCAGTAGATTAAGGACGCTGGACCTGGACCATATGTCACTGCTCATCATTTATAAGCTTCTTGACAGAGATCGGCAGTAAATTTATTTAACCGAATGCAGATTAAATTAAAAACCAAATAATAAGATTACAAGCAAAACACCATCTGGAAAACCATGGCAAGGGACCATGGGATGGATTTCTGTGCTCCTGCATCCGAGGACAGGTTCACAGCATGTCCTGTTGACCCAGGGATGGAAATGATGATTCCCCACACTAGGACCACTGGGCCTCTCCCCTTACATCATCTCCAAAGGCTAATCTAGAAGGAAAAGCCACAGTGCTTCCTAAGCTCCGACTGTGTGCATAAGATGCCACAACAATCCAGTGAGTCTCTGCAGATCTCCCAGTGTGTGTCTCTCTGTCTCAGCGTTCCTCTCTCCCTCCTTCCCTCTTTCTCTCTCATTACAGAGCTGGGGATTGAAGCTAGGGCTTCATGCACGTTAGGCAAGCACTCCACCACTGAGTCATATCCCAGCCCCAACTTCATAATTTGTTAAACACGATTACATCACACAGTTCTTTTCCCACATAAAGAAAATAAAACAAGAACAAGCCATTTTCTCTGAGAACACAGACGAAGCCATAAACAGGGATTGAGTGTTTTATCTCTAGTGTGTCTGAGACCATGGAGTAAATATTTACAGTCATGTGGGACAGAGGTAAGAGCATTATTATACACCATTTATGTAAACTGTTTGATACCAATCAACCAAATTCTAAGTTAAACGTATTTACTATTATTCAATCACTTTACAAAATCTTCACTCTACAGTCTTATTCTTTATTTTGTGTGTGTGTGTGTGTGTGTGTGTGTGTGTGTGTGTGTGTGTGTGTGAAAAGACAGGTGTATAATGTGAGTGCAGGCATCCACACGTCAGCATGCATGTGGAAGACAGAGGATAATTTTCAGGCGTCAGTTCCCTCCTTCCCCCCTGACATGGGGGCAATGACCTCAGGTCACCGGGCTTGCACACAAGTGCTTCTGCCCACTAAGCCATCTTGCCGGCCCCTATAATCCTCTTCTACATCCATCGGATACCCATAATAACAGGATCTCCCCGTACCAACAGTGATCTTTAAAAAGAAAAACAGACTCCCAGAGCGGGAGGCAAGGAGAAGAACTGTGTAAGGACACAGAGACATCGGTTCTTTGTAATCGAGTCAATTCTCTTCCATCCAATAACCCTTTCCCCAGTCGGCCGCAGCAAGAGGATAAAGGATCTGCACAATACAGACACACTCACCCAAGCCACTCAGCGTATACAGCAGGTCGCCGGTGTCTAGGAAAATAGGTCCATTCTCCTGCTGCCCTTCCTCTTTATAAAACAGCTTGTAGCCCTGAATGGCAGCTGGGTCCTCAGTGTCTTGCAGCCACCTCACGGAGATGGTCGTACAGTTCAGGGGTTCCAAATGCAGTTCAGGAGACTTAGGGGCTAGAAGAGACAGCACTGTGTCAACACCCCACAGTCCACAGGAAGCCAGGGGGCAGCACACACCTCTCTCTCAGCGTCAAGCCGATGTTGCAAAGTCCAACCATCATACTTTGACCTAACGTTCAAACTTCCACAGTGACAAGCCAGCAGGATGACTCAGTGGGGAAAGGAGCTTGCTGCCAAATCTGACGAACTGAGTTCAATCCCCAGGTCCAACAAAGTGGAAGAAGAGACTAAGTCCCACATGTTCTCTGCTTTCCACACATGACTTCGTATGCACACACACACACACACACACACACACACACGCAAAAAAAAATACGTTTACAAATTTCACAACGATGTTTAGTATAGAAATAGGATTTAAATATACTACCTAAAAGACTAAGACATGCACATAGCAAGAGAGCATCTATGTTCGTATATGTAATTATTTTAAAATAGCCAATTGTGTGTTCTAATTTTTACTGTAGAGTATTTCCAGTCAAATGACAACAGACCAGTCATGTTAGACCCCACATCAGTAATAGTCTACGTTTCCACCTGTCTTTTGAAACTAATGACTTAAGAACACACTACACTATGCAGTAGGTCTCAGTTTCTATGGCCCCTCTGGAAGCCAGTCTGACTGGGACTCCTGAAGGTTTTGCTAAGCAAACTAACGGAGCGATCAGCAGCTTTTCCCACAAATGGGCAAACAGAAAACCTGAGTCAAAGGCTTGATTTGTTTATGAACCCAGGACCTTGCAAGCGCTCTACTAACCACACTACAGCCCACTCCTCTTTTTACACTTTCTCCTTAATAGGTTTTCATGTCCCACGCTGGCTTCAAACTCAAAAACCACAGCCAGCGATGAACTTCCAACCCTCCTGCCTCTACTCCTCTCTAGTGCTGGGATTATGGGCCAGCAAGTGAGCCACGAGACCTGGTGTGGAGAGCCCTAGGTGCTGCAGCCTGGACTTTGTGCACGTTAGGAAACCGCCCTACCAACTGAGCTATGGCACCAGTTCCAAGGAAAAGCTTAGGATTTTTCAATTAAGTTCATAAACTGTGTAATATCTGCAAACATTGACACACAAATTTAAAATATGAGATGGAAAAAAAAATATGGGATGGAGAGATGACTCAACAGTTAAGAACATGGGCTGCCCTTCCAGAGGACCAGGGTTCCATTCCCAGCACCCACATGGCGGCTCACAACCATCTGTTACCCGGTTCCAGGGATCTGATGCCCTCTTCTGGCCTCTGTGGGCACTGCACACAAGTGATGCACAGACATGCATGCCGGCAAAACACTCATACATACACAAAAAATAGAAAATAAGAATTTTAAAAATAAGACATAGATATATTACGTGTAACTAGGAGTGGAAAATTCTAATTCAAACGTAAAACACTATTTCTCTTTCTGAAAAGTCCTTGGGAGGTGTTACCTTTCACGCTCGTGGCTTTGGGCGTCCTGTGTGAGGTCCACACCGATGACTCTCCCAGCCCCACGCGGGTGGCAGCAGTAATCCGGACCAGATAGACACTGTCAGGCTTCAGGCCTTCCAGGAGGTACTCGTGCACAGTCCCTGGGAGCTCCACAACTTGGATGGAATTCTCAGTGCTCAGGCGGAAGGACAGCCGATACAGCACCACTTGGCCCCGCCGGTACTTTGCCGGGATGGGCAGCCAGGAGACGAGAATGTCGGTGGGACTTCGGCTCGTCAAGCTAATTTCGGGAGGTCTCAGGGGCACTAGTGAAATGAGGAAATACGTTGTTCATAAAGATTTACAATCACGATGCTACTCAGCACCGTCACACTTGTGGGATCCTCTTAACGGCAACACACAACGGGGTTACTGTGGAGACGCTTCCGGCTGGAGCAGAGGCTCTCAGCGAAGCCAGCTTCCGGCCAGAAGAAAGGAAATACAGTGAGGGTGCCATCAGAGCACGCAGTCTGCGGTGATGGTTAGGTGGTTGCCCAAGATGAATATCATTATTTGCTAACCACACAATGTGAGACAAATTCACAAATAAGTCTACCAAAGTCCCTCTGAAGCAAGGGAGAGTATGTCACAGTATAGCAAGGAAGCCCGGGCTCCAGAACTGCAACCAAGAAGTTTTCAACGTGTAAGAGTCTCGTATTAAAAAAAAATGAATGTGGGGCTGGAGTAATGTCTCAGTGGTTAAGAACACCGACTGCTCTTCCAGAGGTCCTGAGTTCAATTCCCAGCAACCACATGGTGGCTCACAACCACTTGTAATGAGATCTGGCGCCCTCTTCTGGCCTGCAGGGACACATGCAGGCAGAATACTGTATACATAATAAATAAATAAATGTAGAAAAAATAAAAATTAAAAAAAAATAATAAAAAATGAATGTGAGCCGGGCAGTGGTGGTGCACACCTTTAATCCCAGCACTTGGGAGGCAGAGGCAGGCAGATCTCAGTGAGTTCAAGGCCAGCCTGGTCTACAAAGCAAGTTCCAGGACAGCCAGGGCTGTTATACAGAGAAATCCTATCTTGAAAAACAAACAAACAAAAAAAAGTGAATTTTATTATTTTTAATTATTACGTTTATTTATGTGTTTGTGTGTGAGCCTGAGCATGCCCTGATGTTGTAGGGCAGCATCCTCTGAACTGAAGTATTCCCTACAGGAGCTCATGAGACTCCCGGGATACACCAAGTGTCAAGCTTGGCAGATTCTCGAAGGCCCCTTTACAGAAGTAAACGACGGCTTGGGCAGGGGACACTGACCAGCCTGTGCAGAGGGGGGGTTCCTGCCTACACAACCTCATCTTTTTTTAAAAAACCATCCACTACCTTCTTAAAAGAGTTATTTCCTCAGTATGAGTGTTTGCCCGTATGTAAGTTTGTATACTATACACATGCAGTGCCCACAGAGCAGGCGAGGGCACCAGATGCCCTGGAACTAAACTTACAGCCAATTTTGAAAAATAAAATCTGTTTTTTTTTTAAGTGTCCTTTATCACGTTACGACAAAAAGGTAAGGCTGAGACCCGAGAGAGCAACTGGCCTGTGGCGGCTTAACCGAACCGTTTTCGTTTAACCAAACAGGCTTACTCACTGGAAGTGACCAAGTCTACAAATGTCCGCACTTGAGGACCCAGAACTGTGCTTCCTTACCATCCTCTAGAGTGTTCTGGGTCACATGGTCCGACATCTGGCTGGCTCCCATGGGCATGTACGCCACGATGTAGAAAGTGTAGTTGCTGGCCGGTTCTAAGTCATCGATGATGTAATGAGTTGTGTCGTTTCCAAGGACCACCTGATACTCCTCATTATTTAAGCCTAGACCAAAGGATCCACGTTTAAAAATGACAAATATTCAGCCAGGCAGTGGTGACATATACCTTTAGCCCCAGCACGTGGTAGTCAGAGGCAGACGGGTCTCTGTGAGTTCGAGGCCAGCCTTCGTCTACAAGCAAGTTCCAGGACAGAGCTACACAGAGAAACCCTGTTTCAAAATAAACAAGACAAACATTCAAAATAAAATTAGCAAGGCCTTTCTTTTCTCCTCGTGGCTATCTCTGTTGCCTCCTATGACCCTGCACACAACGCCCTTCAGTGCACAGAAAGCTCCTTATTGCCTAAAAGCAACGAAGCTCTTTGTCTAAAAATTACTGGTTGGAACATTTCCTAAAAAGAATCCACCTTCTCTAAGGTCGTCTACCACCTAGTCAAAACAGGAGGGGCTGTGAAGAGTGAGTGAGTGAGGCAGGAGAGCGCGGCACAACGGACCACTGTACCCCAGCAAGCAAACGTCCTCGCTTAAACTCCGGCTTTCTGTTGAACATAAACAGAGAGACGGCGGCGGGGAATACACAGATTCTGCTTTTTGCAAAAACAAACCGAATGAAAAGCTGGCCTGCCAAGGATCTCATTCTGCCGCACGGGTCAACACAGGTCTTTCTGTTCTTAATACTAAAAGTGAAACGGAAGAGGGTCCCACGGTGAGCGTTCAGGTTTTTAAAGAGGGAAACAAATTCTCGGGGCTGCTTTGGTAAAACGCACGAGGCAAGGTACAGGAGGGGTTCTGTCTGTGTGGACTTAATTCCTGCGGGCAGACCTGGGGGACCGGGCGCGGCACCGCCAGCCACGGCGCAGGCGCACACCGGTCCACAGGCCGCTGGTCAACTCTATCCCACTGGTCTCAGCACCGGGCCCTCCTCCCTGCCCTGGACTGATAAACAAAACAGAAGGCACATTCCAGCACCGAGTTTTCCCACATTTCTGAATTAACTTCATAGCATTTTAATTAGACGAGATTAGAGGCGTTTCACAACACACTGGCTAATGGCTCGTTAATTAGGAACCGCATAGCACAATTTCTGACCCACTACACAAAGTCCTCGAGTTCAAATGAAAAAGCCTTGTGCTGCCCCTGAATAGAGCGCTGAGCGGCCTGCGGGGCTCTAATGAAGCCAGCACAATGGTGAACAAGAGTGGGGCCCCCCAAAGCCAGCTTTCCTTTCACCTTCCCGAGCCAGCGGAGAGAAGGAACACACTCCAGCATGCTCTCACCAGAACGTTCTTCTTGCTACCGGGGCCCTCGATTTACATTCAGAATATCCCTTTTCAAAACGCTGCCTCCGAGTGTAAAAACCAAAGCGCAAACCACCTGCCTCCGCAGACAACGTGAGCCCAGCACCATTCTTGAGGGTTCACCCTGGTCCTAACGCAAGCTGCTTACAAGCCAGACGGCTCCTGTAGAAAACTAGCCCGTGTAAACCTGAGTCAGGGAGAAATCCCGGGGATTTGTGAACAGCTCTTCTGCTTCTGCAACAATTTTGTCCAAAAGTCAGATAAAAAAGGACTTTATTCTTTTTTTTTTTTTTTTTTTTTTTTTTTTGGTTTTTTCGAGACAGGGTTTCTCTGTGTATCTTTGCGCCTTTCCTGAAGGACTTTATTCTTAATCCTCCGAACACCAGTTCTTGTTCAGAATAACAAGAACTAGAAGAGATTTGATATTTAACTTTTTCAGACTTAGGTGTGTATGTGTATTTGTGTAGGTGAGTGCCTACATTTTTGTATGTGCCTGTGCCAAAGGATGCCAGAAGAGAGGGCTGGATCCTGAGAGCTAGAGGTATGGGCAGTAGGAAGCACCTGATGTGGGTTTTGAGAACCGAACCCAGGTCCTCAGCAAAAGCAGCTAGTGCCTGTACCACTGAACTGTTTCTCTAGCTCTGATATTTAATTTGATATGAGATACCACAAAAATGTCTTGTTAACTTTTTATATAACGTTTTTTTTCTTCTGGTGGTACTGAGGATTGAACCCAGGGCCTTACACATGCTATCTGAGGGTTCTTCCACTGAGCTATATCCCAGCCAGTCTTGTTTAATTTTCTTTCAAAATGAAAATATTCAACATACATAGAATTGAAAATAGCACAATTTCTGGGTGGTGGTGGCAGTTCCTTTTAATTCCAGCAATCAGGAGGCAGAGGCAGGCGAATCTGTATGAGTTCAAGGCCAGCCTGGTCTTCAGAGTGAGTTCCAGGACAGCCAGGGCTACACAGAGAAACCCTGTCTCAGAAAACAAAAAACAAACAAACAAGACTTTTCAGTATGGCTGCGTTGGGTCATGCTCCTGACAGTGACTTCTCACCCATGTTCTCTAAGTCACCCCAATAACCTTATTGGTGGGACAGAGCTTTGATTTGTCACTGGGATCTTAGACGGAGACAAGAGTTGATGTGATATAGTCCCCTTGGGTGAAATTCTCTCAGCTGTTATTCATTCTGAAGACAAATATTTTGTTTTGGTTTGGATAAGATACAAGCTTAGGTAGCCCAGGTTGGCCTCAAATTTGCTATGTAGTCAAGGATGGCCTTGAACTTCTGATTTGCCTGCCTCTACCTCCCAAGTGTTCAGATCACAGGCATGTGTCACCACATCGGGTTCCTGTAGTTCTGGGGATCAAACCCAGGGCCTCATGCATGCCAGGTAAGCACTTTCCCTACTGAGCCTTGTCTCTGGCTGCTGAGAACAAACCCAGGATAGCAAACAATGCTTAGGAGAGGCTCCCAGGTTGGGGATTTAGTCAGTGGTAGAGAGCTTGCCTAGCAAGCACAAGGCCCTGGGTTCGGTCCTCTGCTCCAGGGGTGGGGGTTGGGGGGTAGGGGGTGGCAGGGGAGGCTCCCAAGTCATTCACCTTCTGCTCTCATGTAGTGCACAGAGTAGGCGATGACCTTGTCTGAGTTGTACAGTGGCCTCTCCCAAGCGAGAAGGATGGCGGAGCTCGACATGGTTTCGGCATGAACGTTATACGGAGCGCTGGGTCTGTCTTCCGACATGACCACGGTCAGTCTGGCTCGAGACAGAGCAGAGCCTTGGCTGTTTTCGGCCATGCACTGATAAAAAGCATCATCTTCAGGGATAATCTGGTTAATTACCAATTTGCTGAGGAAAGAAAAAAAAAATTTATATCCATAAAAAAAAATTCCAGTGATGACATTAAAAAGCTATTGCTAAATGTACTCTCCCTTTATATGAGAACAACCAGTTCTAATAAAAAATAATCTACATTAATTACTTAAAATTATTCTGATTTATATTCTCAGTCTTCATCAGTATTTACGGTAGCTGAATTTTCTTTGCTTTAATTACTTTTTTTTTTAATGGTGTTTAATAGAAAAGCGTATTACTCTCTTCCACTGTCTAAACTTAACTCATATTGCAATGCACACATGAAGTTCAGGTCAACAAAAAAATTTAAAGTTTTGATTAAATTATGTTACAAGAATAAAAACTGTGTGTGTGTGCGCGTGCGCGTGCGTGTGCGTGTGCGTGTGTGTGTGTGTGTGTGTGTGTGTGTGTGTGTGTGTGTATTGTGGGATATTTTATAGTCTGTGAAGATGTATTGCTATGATTGGTAGAATAAAAAGCTGAACAGCCAATAGCTAGGCAGGAGACTATAGGCGGGAATTCTGGGCAGAGAAAGAATTCTGGGAAGCAGAAAGGCAGAGTTGCCGGCCAGATGCAGAGGAAGCAGGATGGGCAGTACGGAGCTGAGGTCACAAACCACAAGGAAGAATGTAGATTAAAAACTCTGGGTAGGCCGGGCGGTGGTGACGCACACCTTTAATCCCAGCACTTGGGAGGCAGAGCCAGGCGGATCTCTGTGAGTCGAGGCCAGCCTGGGCTACCAAGTGAGTTCCAGGAAAGGCGCAAAGCTACACAGAGAAATCCTGTCTCGAAAAACCAAAAAAAAAAAAAAAAAAACTCTGGGTAAATTTAAGTTATAAGAACTAGTCAGGAACAAGCCTAAGCTAAGGCTGAGCTTTCATAATTAATAAGTCTCCATGTCATTATTTGTGGCTGGCAGTCCCAATGAGAAAGTACTCCTACATATATATGTATAATATATATATTATATATATATGAGAAAGTACTACTATATATGTGTGTGTGTGTGTGTGTGTGTGTGTGTGTGTGTGTGTGTGTGTATTTCTTTTCAAGACAGGTTCTCATAATGTAGCCCTGGCTGTCCTATAACTCTCTATGTAGACCAGGCTGATCTCAAATTCACAGATATCCGCCTACCTCTGTCTCCCAAGTGCTGGGATTAAAAGTGTGCGCCACCATGACCAGCCAAGTTTCACTCTTTTTTTTTTTTTAATTTATTTTTATTTTATGGGCATTGGTGTTCTGCCTGCATGTATGTCCGTGTGAGGCTGTCAGGTCCCCTGGAACAGGAGTTATAGACAGTTATGAGCTGCCATGTGGGTGCTGGGAATTGAACCCAGGTCCTGTGGAAGAACAGTCAATGCTCTTAACTGCTGAGCCATCTCTCCAGCCCCTCAAGTTGCATTCTTAAAGTCATTAAGTTTGAACCCTTGAGGGACTATCAGGAAGTAACTTACTTCATTCTTGTTTTTTTCATTTGCTGGGAGAAGGAGCTAAGACCCCCAGAGTCCATGTTTGCTGGGGTCACTTAGCTAGTGGCCTACCAAGGCTAGAACTGCCATCCAGGGGACTGTTTGGCATGTGCTCCGTTATAACACATCACATTAGATCCACGTATGAAATACAAAATGACAGACGGCACACTAATGCTATAAACGTTAATTTCTTACATTTAATGTTAACTGACAAGATTATGTGGTGATTGACGCTACTATAGCCAATTCATGTAAAAACTAATAAAGGCATTGTTTTATTTAGAAGTAGCATGGCTTACCTGTTGTACATTTTAATCCTGCCGTTTGAATGTATCCTTCTTCCATTTTTCAACCAGGACATTTTGGGTGAGGGGATTCCCTCCGCCTGACACACAAACCGTGCAGTACCAGCTCGTGGTCTTGTTAAACTTTCAGGCCATTCAACAAATGAAGGAGGAGCTATTTCAAAAGGAAAAAAAATTATATATATATATATATTATATATAACATATATATATATGTTCCATAGTTCCAATAGGAATGACAAAAAGAAGAATATATGGGACAAACCCCATGTGTAACGATGTCAGAGAGTCTGAATCTTCTACACCAGCTAGGTATGTGTGAGGGGAGCTTTCCTTGTCAACTTGACACAACCTAGAGTCATCCAGGGGAGGGACTGTCTACCCTGGGTTGCCCCGTGGACGTGTCTGTGGAGGGCTGTCTTACTGGTACTGAAAGACACAGTCCACTGTAGGTGGCACCACTCCCTAGGCAGGGAATCCTGACCTGTACGGAGAGGGGAAATCAAGCCGAACACAAGCCAGCAAGCGAGCATGCGTGCATCCGTTTCACCCTCCTCCTGACTATGGATGTGAGTAGCTATCTGAGCCCCTTGGCTTCCCCACAATGATGGACGATAACCTGGAAGTAACTGCAAGCTAAAATTTACCCTTTCTCCTCTACATGGCTTTGGTAGAGGTGAGGTATTTCATCACAGCAATAGAAACAGAACTAGGAGAGTGCTTTTCTGATGCTCAGCACCTACTTTCCTCCACCGAGACCACCTGTGAACACATACTCACACCCACAACCCATCTTAACTAAACCCAATGAGAGGACACTTGTGATCACAGTCACCAAGAGATTGAGTGTAGATTGTTAGATGAGAAGGAGAAGGGAAACGTAAACAAGGAGGCGCTTGAAGCTATGCACACAAACATGCTGACTTCACTACATGATTGCAGAGCTGTATTGTAACACAGGGATTTAGTTTTGTTTCCCCTAAAACTTACTGCTGGCTTTTCAGTACTTACTATCAACCTCCCTATCACTGCTGCCAAACTCGGGAGTTAAAAGAAAGCCATGTAGGGCTAGAGGATGCCTCAAGGGTTATGAGCATTTGTTGCCCTTACAGAGAACTCAAGTTCATTTCCCAGCACCCACATTGGGCAGCTCACAACCTCCTGTAAATCCAGCTCCAGGGAATACGGTGCCCTCTTCTGGCACCTTTGGGCACTGCACTCACATGCATAAACCTATACACATACATACACATAATTAAAAACAATACCTTAAAAAAGAAAACCATGAAAGAAATTAAAATGGCAAATATTGAAACATAAGCATCTCCTGAGTATAGAAAGAATGCATACCTAATACAGTTAAAGTTGCCATGGCAACCGTGAAGTTGCGAGTGCCAGGGGTGGTGGCCCGACAAACATACACTCCAGTATGCTGTAGTTTGACATCTGATATTATGAGATTGCCATTTCCAAGTACCCGAGTGTTAAAGACATCAATGGATTTGTGATCTATTTCAAAGAGAACATGTAAATTGAAACAACGCACTTCATCTGAAATTATGCCAAATGACCACTATTCGTGAAATCAATCATTAAAAAGTAGCAATTTCTCGGGAGCATAAGCTTTCCTTACATTGCAAAGCTAAAAAGAAGTCATTCAGATTTAACTGCCAAATGTGTCTTATCTGTAAAACACACATCTTATCCGTTTCACTAAAAAGAATGAAGTTCCAAGGAAGGACTCCCTTGCATCCCCGCCTCCCGCACCCCCCCCCACCCCCCCCCACCCCACCCCCACCCCCCGCAGTCAGTGAGGAGGACAGATTACCAAGACGGCTCCAGGAAATGATGGGTTTGGGATATCCTGTGGCCATGCATTCTAGAACGACAGTCTGATGCAGAGACACAGTTACATTCTGTGGACCGGCTACAATGGTCGGCATGTAGAAGGGTCTGGACTCATTAGCTTTGGGCAGGAAAAGACAGAATACATAAATCATAAGAAACATTAAAACGCCAATTCTTACTCTTTCATTTATTCTTTCATTGTTTTGAGACAGGATCTCACGTAGCCTAGGTTAGCTTCCAATTCCCTATACACTCAGGGATGGCCTTCAACGCCTGCTCTCTACCCCAAGGGTCCTGGGATTACAGGTGGGTGCCGTCCCACCCAGCTTACCTTTGCTTTCCATTCATTTCCTCTGACACTCAGTCCCTTCCTGCCTTCCTTCCTGTGTGGAATGTGTGTGCACAGGGACCCTGTTTGTCACTCTCCCCTTTATTCCTGTGCGGCAGGGTCTCTCACTGAACCTGGGGTTAGGCTGGCAGCCAGCAGGCTACCATGATCTCCTTGTCTCTGCAGGTTGAGAGTGCTCCAGATTCCCAGCTTTGTGGACTGCCACCCATGCTGGGGTGGGCTTTGGTGACACAGCTGTCTTTGAGTCATTTCTGACTAACCCTTCCCCCACATTCCTGTAAGTAACCCCAATAAAACTCATTGGTTTACTTTGGTGGTGTCTGTACTTTGGTCTGTAATGGAATCCCTAACTTGGGTGGCACGTATCTGTCTCCCCTGAAAAAGTCTGTCACGTGACACCCCCAAAATGCGTATCCATTAGCAGTTAGTGCTTACGCTGAAGAATATCATATTAGAAACAAACATCTTTATTGGCAATGGACTCTTTCTGTCCCCTGTCTGTATTTTATGCTTTTAAAAACAAAAGTGAAAAATTTATAAAGCAATCATTCCATATTTCTCAAGGAGGTTGACACAGAAAACACACTTGCCTGGGAAAGATTTGCTTAGTAAAAGGCTTTGTTCCAAATAGATTGCAATACAGGCATGGTGGCACACACCTGTAATCCCAGCCTTGGAGGAGGCGGAAGCAGAAGGGTTACAAGTTCAAGGCTAGGATGGAGCACAGAGAAAGTCTCTATCTGAAAACAAGAAACTCAAACCCACTCTATGACAAGAATTTAAATGCCATCAAAATTCTGACGGACAGAACACAACCAGGAGGAAAGTAGGCAGGACAATAAAAAATCTCCTAAGAATGTGAGAAAACAAACCAACAAAAACCACGTTAGCATGGTACCTGGAATTATGGTGAGAGAGGCCTCCATGCTTTTACGCTTATGAGCTACAGTCGCCGCAACACAGCGGTAATTCCCAGCATCCTCCGGGCCAGCATCATAGATCTGCAATACTCCGGATGGCAGGGCAGTCACCCTGTTGAGACAAGAAATGTAACTGAACTTTCTGTAGATCTTTATACTTTACTAAACTTTTTGCTGACAGAAATGAACACATTCAATCCTTTTAGCCATGGCAGAAACAATACTGTGAAGACCTTTTAACGTAGGAGCCTTGGCTGGGGTATGGAAGAGAACCAGATTCCCAACCCTGAAAAATAACACCAGTGAACACATTAGCTTGATTCTATGATTTCCATTTGAGTCACGACAGGTCTCTGAGATGTAAATAATTCTACAGTACACAGTTTGTGAAATCTAGCACTCTCGTTTAACAGATCGGATCTTGTTAACATTCTTGTGCTGATTGAGCTGATAATGGCTCAGATCTTAGCATGATTTTATTCTCAAAATCCTGACCCTTTTTTTTTTTTTTTTTTTTTGATCCCACTAAGAGCTATTTATTCTGCACGACCCAGTTTCTAAAACAGGGTCACAACCCCATATAGGATCACAAAACTTGAATGTGGGGCAGTCATTAAAAAATGGGCAATAGTAAAAGGTGTCTATATGTTCAACAATAAAAATTAATTCGAGGGCTGGAGAGATGGCTCAGTGGTTATGAGCACTGGCTGCTTGTCCAGAGGTCCTGAGTTCAATTCCCAGCAACCTCATGGTGGCTCACAACCAACTGTAATGAGATCTGGTGCCCTCTTCTGGCCTGTAGACACACATGCAGACAGAGCACAGTATACATAATAAATAAATAAATCTAAAAAAAAACTTAAAAAAAAATCAATTCGATATAAAAATACACAATGCATCTGAGCTGTTTCTGGTGAGTGGGCCCGTGTGGCATCATGTGACTTCACTTCTGAACACAGCACATTCGCACTTCACACTGTGAAAGCTGTCACACCACACGCCACCCATGAATACTATCTGAAACAGCCAGGCTCAGATTCAAGACAACCATGTGCTAGGAAATGAAGTGTCTTCACTGAATATACAAAGTTTTCTGTCCTTAATGAAATATAATGGCCTGATTATAGAAAACAAATACTTTTAGCAATTTCACAGCTGTAAATATCAAATTAGTGTATCTTTAGATTGAGCAGTATTAGGGTGCTTAATCTTAATACTGTTTGAGTTGTTGACTTAAGTTCAATAAACATTGTTAAATGAAGCAGAGCAGCGGTGGCACATGCCTTTAATCCCAGTACTCTGGAGGCAGAGGCAGGTAGATCTCTGTGAGTTTAAGGCCAGCCTGGTCTACAGAGTATGATCCAGGACAGCCAGAGTTACACAGCAAAACCTTGTCTCAAAACAAACAAACAAAAAGATGATAAATAAATTTTGGCTCTAAATTAAGATAGAATTCTAACAATCTTTAAAGTGTCCCTGAACATACTTCTGCTATTTCTTACGGTGTATTTATTTGAAGCAGTGCTCTTAGTATTGAGAAATATAATGGAGCTGGAGAGATGGGTCAGTGGTTAAGAGCACTGGCTGCTCTTCCAGAGTACCAGGATTCAACTTCCAGCACCCACATGATTGCCCACAACTGTCCATAGCTCTAGTTCCCGGGGATCCGACACCCCTCTGGCTTCTGCAGGCACCGCATACAAGTGACGCACAGACACACGTGCAGGTAAAACACTCATACACATAAAGTATAAAAAAAACGCTGAGCTGAAAAACTTCGTGAATGTGTTACTTTTCCTGTAGCATCAAATACTCCACTGAGACTTAGTTCTTTATGTAAAAATAGACAAGTATATCCACCTCATTTCTGGGAACAAATTTGCTTTCATCTTTAATAGCAAAATTATATGTCTACCAAAAATTGTTTTAAAATAAATATCATTTCATGTTTGATTTTTATACCTATTTTATATACCTAGGATCATGTAAAAAAAATTTCTCAGGAGCAGCTGGGAGTAGAAAAGGTTTAAGATACAGGCAGCGGTGGCCCACGCCTTTAATCCCAGCACACAGGAGACAGAGGCAGGCGGATCTCTGAGTTCAAGGCCAGCCAGGTCTACAGAGTAAGTTCCAGGACAGGCAGGGCTACACAGAGAAACCCTGTCTCAAAAAAACAAAAACAAACAAACAACAACAAAAAAAAAAGGTTTAAGATAATTCTTTTTTGTTTGGTTGGTTTTTTGTTTGTTTTTTGAGACAAGGATTCTCTGTGTATCCTTGGCTGTCTTGGAACTCACTCTGTAGACCAGGCTGGCCTTGAACTCAAGAGATCCGCCTGTCTCTGCCTCCCGAGAGCTGGGATTAAAGGCCTGTGCCGCCACCACCTGGCCTAAGATATTCTTGAATTAGATTTTTTCTTTTTCTTCAATGAAACACTTCACAATTTTCCCCCATCTTAGTGTTCTAACATTTTAGCAAATGATTTTTGTATACTTCAGCGCAGAGCAAGAATAAAACTTTTTTTTTTAAATATTTATTTATGTTACATGTGTGTATGTGTGCATGTGTCTGAGCATCTGTTCATGTACCACATGCCTGCGCTGCTGGGAGGAGATCAGAAGCACAGAATCCCTTGAAACTAGTTACAGGTGGCTGTGAGCTTCAGTGCGGGTGCTGGGACCAAATCTCCGAAAGAGTGAGTGCGTTTATCCACTGACCCATCTCTCCAGTCCTGATGATGGGATTCCTTTTTGTTTTTAATTTATTTAATTTTATTTTATGTGCATTGGTATGAAGGTGTCAGATCCCCTGGAACTGGAGTTACAGACAGTTGTGAGCTGCCATGTAGGTGCTGGGAACTGAACCCTGGTCCTCTGGAAGAACAGCCAGTGTTCTTAACCAATGAGCCATCTCTCAAGGTCCGAGATGAAATTCTTTTTTTTTTTTTTTTCTTTCTTTCTTTTTTTGTTTTTTTTTTCCAAGACAGGGTTTCTCTGTGCAATTTTGGTGCCTGTCCTGGATCTTGCTCTGTAGCCCAGGCTGGCCTCGAACTCACAGAGATCCCCTGGCTCTGCCTCATGAGTGCTGAGATTAAAGGCGTGTGCCACCACCACCCAGCGTTGATGGAATTCTTAATCTGAGTTTGAAATGTCTTAGGAAATCAATTATTGCCACCCCAAATGAAAATGAACTCCATGATATTTTCCCCCCTCAGAAGCTTTGTGTGAAGCCTTATGTCCCATATCCAAATAAGCATTGCTACATTTACCTGTCCATGGTTATAGGCAGGGCTGTCCTATTGAACTCCCATGTTATGACGGCAGGGGGGTTTGATGAAATCTTGCAAGAAAATCTAGCAACTCCCCCTTCCTGGACTTCAGTAGAAACTGGATGGACTTCGAACGCAGAAATAGCTGTGACAAGATTGGACAAGTTTAGAATCAGCACATAGCAGCGCATTCGGCAATAGCATTCATTACACAGCACAGTTTACCAGATCTGAACTCCTGCTCAGGTCACCGTAATTGAAGTAGTACAAAGATGATTTCATGAATACTTTGAGAAAAAGCCGGGGGGGGGGGGGGGCAACTTGGGGAGTCTGTCTTTCCTAGTCTTTAAAATTCTAAACATAGTCTTAGGAAACCATCTATTAGAGAGAAAACATAGACATAACTGAAGGAAAAATAATGATTCAAAATGGTTATGTAGTTATACACCCAAATACAGTACAAGCCAAATTCTACTGGTTATCGGAGGGGAGGGGAAAAAAAGACGAACTAGGGCTGGAGAGATGGCTCCGAAGAGCAAGCATTGCTCTTGCGGAGGAGCTGAGTTCGATTCCCAGAACCCACACTAGGTAGCTTACAACTGCTTGTAACTCTGGCTCTGGCATGAGTGTGTACACGCACGCATGCACACATACACACACACAATTAAAAATAAGTTTTTCTTCAACTGTAATAAAGACAAACTATCCAGGTCAAAACTATTTCTGTGAACTGGCTTTTAAAGAATCCAGTGAATTCTGAAGAAAGTGGAGAATATATAAATTGAGGCAAGAGAGGCAGCCTAACAGGAGCGCAGAGGGAAAGAATGGTAGCCTGCGTATGCAGGATGTGAGGAAACCAGAAGACTATGGTAGGACATTTCAGATGAACCCGCAATACCTCAGGATGAACTGAGGAGTCTTAAGAGTCCAGCTGGCTTTAAAGAGGAACGGTGAACCAAAAGACTCTGGGGTACCACACACCAGCGCCGCTTCTCTGGGGTTGCTCAGGTGAAGGCAGGACAGATAACTGTTTGTGCGGGAACACAGGGCCTCAGAGAAGCACAAAGGCTGTCTTCAGGCTCATGCATTTCCAAAGTGGAGCTAAATCCTGAAGTGCTGATGTTTCTGGAGTCGATTCTTCGTCCCTATCCTAAGGGGTCTCCAGGGAGCCATGCCAGGGTCTACAGTCCTGCATGTTGAAGGAGCGCAGACATCAGGCAGAGCCAAGTGTCTCTTCCCTCAGCTAACCTTCCAAGACATAAAGACAGGGACCCGAGCATGGGCGAACTCCCTTCCTGAGACTCCAGTAAAAATGCCTTCAGGGTATCGATAGAGACAGAAAGCAGAAGGAAAAGTATGAAAAAGTAGGGCCTAGCCTGATTCTCCATTACACTGGGAAGGGCAAAAGTCACAGAAGGCTGCCAAATTCCACCTTGGGCTTGGCTTCAGTTTTCTGTAGATAGTTTATTGGCCTTTAGAGGTACCGGGCTATAGAAGTCAAAATATTCTCAGAAGGATTTACTTTCAAAACACTGGACAGAGGTAAAGTCATACTTCATTTGTGTCAGTAACGAATATTTCCATTCCTGCGGAACAGCAGTCATCAGTCTACAGATACCAGTAGATTCTCAGAGTAGAAACTGTTTTCAAAATAATCATCATTTGCTGTTTTAGTTTTCATTTCTCTTGAGTGTACAGAGTTTTCTGAAAGCTATAAGCTGGGAAGTATTGCCAACAGACCCAATCAATACAGAAGCAAAGGACCACTGTACACACTCCTGTTAATCAAAGTAAAGGGATTTATATAACTACAAAACAATACCAGGGCTAGAGAGATGGCTCAGTGGTTAAGGGCACTGGCTGCTCTTGCAGAGGACCTGCGCTGAGCTCCACTACCTACATCAAGCAGGTCACAACTGTCTGTAACTCCAGTTTGAGGAGACCTGACGCCCTCTTCAGGCCTCCAAGAGTATATGCACGCATATGGAACACAGACATACAGGTGGGCAAATACACACATACACAGAAATAAAAGTTTTGTAAAAATAAAACTAATAATAATACACATTTCATTAACTCCTACTTTAAAAAACAATTATATTAATGTGTTATTTATATTACTAAGTAATGGACCAATGTTTTCATTTTTTTAAATTTATTTTTATTTTATGTACAATGGTGTTTTGTCTGTATATATGTCTGTGTGAGGGTGTCAGATCCTTGGAACTAGAGTACAGACAAGTGTGAGCTGCCCTGTGGGTGCTGGGAACTGAGCCCGGGTCCTCTGGAAGAGCAGCCAGCACTCTTAAGGGCTAAGCCATCTCTCCAGCCCCCAGTGTTCTCATTTCCAAGTAATGAAGGCCTAATAATTAAACCAGCCAGTTTCATTATTAATAGCAATTAGCAATAGATTTAAGTGCTGGGCATGGTTCCACACGCCTTTAATCCCAGCACTCAGGAGGCAGAGGCAGGCGGATCTTTGTGAGTTCAAGCCCAGCCTGGTCTACACAGTCAGTTCTAGGCCCACCAAGGCTGTAAGTGCAAGACAGACAAAACAACAAAACCAAAAACAAAACAAACAAAAGAAGATGTGGTGATTTGGAATTTGCCTCCACAACTAAGGAAACCTGCTGAGATCAGGCATGTGTCAGGGGTTTCCCTGAAGAGAGGACTAGAGAGGCCATTTCATGAAGCTGTAAAGTTGAAGTCTGGATTGCCATGGAGACCTCAAGATGTTAGAGATGCCAGAGCTGTAGGATACCTGCTGAGGAAAGCTGCTAATGGAGTGGAACCAGCCAAAGAAAAAGAATTGTGTTGCCGTCAACAAAGCTGAACGGAGTTGGAGATCTGAAAAGTTCTCTGACATCAGACATGGACATGCAGAGTTTGGAGTTTGCCTGGCTGGTTTTTGGTCTTGCTTTGGTCCAGGATTTCCTCACTACTCTCCCTTCCCTACGTTTTGAAATAATAATGTATATCCTGTGCCACGATATGTTGGAACTGTGTGATCTGTTTTTTTATTTTGATTTTACAGGGGATTACAGTTAAGAGATTGCATGAATCTCAAAAGAGACTTTGAACTTTGGACTTTAAATAAGTTTGAGACTGTTAAAGACTATGGGGACTTTTGAAGTTGAACTGAATGCATTTTTGCATTATGATATGACTACAAGCATTTGGGGGCCAGGAAATGGAATGTGGTGGTTTGAGAAAAAAAAAAAAAAGGCCCCCAAAGGAAGTGGCCCTATTAGGAGGTGTGGTCTTGTTGGAGTGGGTGTGGTCTTGATGGAGGAAGTGTGTCACTGTGGAGGCGGGCACTGGGGTCTCATATAGGCTCAACCCAGGGTCTCTGACCACTTCCTGTTGTCTGCAAGTCAATATGTAAGACACTCGACTACTTCTCCAGCACCATGTCTGCCTGCTCATCACCATGTCGTACCATCACGATAATGGACTGAACCCCTGAAAATGTGAGCCACCCCAATTAAATGTTTTCCTTTATAAGAGTTGCTGTGGTCATGTCTCATGAGAACAATAGAAACCCTAACTAAGACAGAAGTTATGTGACATAAAAGATTTTGGGGTCCTCAAAAAGTTTTTAAAAGAGTATAAGGAGTAACATTAAAAGTTCTAGAACCAGTGCTGGAGAGATGGTTCAGGGGTTAAGAGCACTGGCTGCCTTTCCAGAGGTCCTGATTTCAATCCCCATCAACCACATGGTGGCTCACGACCATCTGTAATGAGATCTGGTGCCTTCTTCTGATATATAGGCAGAACACTGTATACATAAATATATTTTTTTAAAGTTATAGAACCACTATCCAAGAACATCAAACTCTAAATATCAATAAAAATTTTCCTTAAAAAAAAAAAAAATCATGGGGGCTGGAGAGATGGCTCAGAGCTTAAGAGCACCAGCAGGCAGCTCTTCCAGAGGTCCTGAGTTCAATTCCCAGCAACCACGTGGTGGCTCACAACCATCTATAATGAGATCTGGTACCCTCTTCTGGCATGCAGGCAGACATGCAGGCAGAACACTGCACATAATTAATAAATAAATATTAAAAAAAAAAAAAAAACATGCTCGGCAGTGGTGGCACATGCCTTTTAATCCCAGCACTCGGGAAGCAGAGGCAGGTGGATTTCTGTGAGGCCAGCCTGCTCTACAGACTGAGTTCCAGGACAGCCAGGACTATTTCACAGAGAAACCTTGTCCTGAAAAACAAAAAATAAAAACAAAACAAAAAACAAATTTTCCTTTAATGAAAAAAAAAAAAAACCAGAAAACAAAAAACAACTCATTTCTAGGCCGGGCGGTGGTGGCGCACGCCTTTAATCCCAGCACTCGGGAGGCAGAGCCAGGCAGATCTCTGTGAGTTCGAGGCCAGCCTGGGCTACCAAGTGAGTTCCAGGAAAGGCGCAAAGCTACACAGAGAAACCCTGTCTCGAAAAACCAAAAAAAAAAAAAAAAAACAACTCATTTCTTTTGTGTGTCCTGGGGGAGGGGGCACACACATCCGCCACACCACGAATATGATGATCACAGGGAAACTAGCAGGAGTTGGTTTTCTCCTTCCACTGTGTGGGTGCCAGGGATCAAACGCAGGTCCTAGGCTTGTTGGCAGCAAGCACCTTTACCAACTAAACCATCTCACTGGCCCCAACTTTTCATTTTGATGGTTTCTGTAGTTACTTTCTAGGACACTTAGCTACAAACACATTAATTCTAGACTGACCTCAGACCACCACTGCTATTCATCTACTAAAGACCTCGATGGCTAGGTCTTCCTGGGAAAGAAGGCTGGGAGATGGCTGGAGAAGTGTCCGCTGCGCAAGCTTGAGGAGCCGACCCCTAGAAAGCACATTCAGAGCCAGGTTTGTGCCTACATTCCCAACCTGGGCAGGGGGAAATGGGATGATCCCTGGAACTGGGGTCCCGGCCTAAATAAAAAGCAGCAGGTGAGGCGAGCACCCGCACTCACCTCTCCCTATTTCTCGACGACAGATGCAACGTGACCAGCTGCCTACGCTCCTGCTCCCGACTCCCGGCAGCAGGGACTGTACCCACAACCCTGAGTCAAAATAACCCTTTCTTCCTTCAGTTGCCTTTCTCAGGTATTTCATCACGACAGCAAGAAAAGTAAC